TCTTCTCTCTTCTCTCTCTCTCTCTCTCTCTCTCTCTCTCTCCCATGTCCAAGTTCTAGGCCCGCACCTAGAGGCGGGCCCAACTCTATTACTCTCTTATTCTCTATTTTCCTCTCTTGCTCTCTTATATCTCTCACTCTCAAGTCCAAGTTTTGAGCCCTCACTTAGAGGTGGGACTAGCTCTCTTACTCTTGTCTTCTCTCTTTCTCTATTTCCCTATATTTCTCTTTTTTTTCTCTCTCTCTCTCCCATGTCCAAGTTCTGGGCCCGTAGCTAGAGGCAGGCCCTGATCTCTTACTCTCTTTTTCTCTCCTTCTCTCTTTTCTCTCCTCAAGTCTAAGTTCTGGGCCTGCACCTAAAGGCAAACCCGACTCTCTTACTCTCTTCTTCTGTCTCTTTCTCTTCCTCTCTCGAGTCCATGTTTCAAGTCTGCACCTAGAAGCGGGCCCGACTCTCTTATTCTCTTCTTCTCTCTTCTTCTCTCTCTTGTTTTCGATCTCACTCTTTCTCTTTCTCACCTTCTCTCCCTCGCTTTCTCTCTCTCTCTCAACTCCCTTCTACTCTCTCTCGATCTCCCTCCCCCTTTCTTGTCTTTCTCCATCTCTCTCTCTCTCCCCTTGATTTCTCCCTACTCCTCTACTCTATTCTTTATCAATCTCTCTCTATGTCAATCTTTCTATTCTCTCTTCCTTTCTTGACCTTGCTCTCTCTCTCTCTCTCATCTACTTTCTCTTTTGATAGCTCTTACCCTTTTACCGTCTATCTTTGCATTGTTCGTCTTTTATCCGTATACATCACTGTACTCTTTCTCTTTATTTCTTTTATTCGATAATTTATTTATTAATAATATTGTTGATATAAGGTATTTTATTAAGATGGAGCCCAAAGGCTGTCAAATTAATAAAAGGTGTTCTATCTTCCTTTCATCATCCTTTTTACCTCCCCCTATTGCTTTCTCGAGAAATTATCCATCTAACGACAAGTCAGGGTCTTCTGACCCACTTGTCTGGCCATCTTACGCATGTGTGTTCCTAAGGGGCAGAGCGTAGGAAGGGAGCCAGAGCCAATTTAGCCTCAGGCTTGGGGGCTTTCTGTCATGATTTAAGAGGGGGTCAGCGCATGCCCGAGCTTGTCACAAACCCACCGTGAGGTAGGTCCCACCTCACACCCCATAATTCTCTCCCACTAGTTGGTACCTACCCACACGTGCACCATGCATACTATGGTTTCTAAGAGTGATCTCAAGCCGATCCCCAAATCTGGGTCCCCACACACGGTCCTCGAACACGATGAGATTGAGGCCCAACCAATGCACTCTTAAGGATGTAGGGTTCCTCTCTCAACATGTGTGCACAATTCTGATAGGTGGATCTTACTATATCAAAATGGCTTCCCAAAATACAACTGTCAGTGCACACACTGTGAGCAAGCTACACGTGTCAGGGATTTCGGGCCTATATCCTCTTACGATTCTAGCTATCCTCACACATGGCTTAAAACACACACACACACACACACACATATATATAGCAAGCTGAGATTCACTGATTCCCAAGCCCTGGCTCACATTACATGAGGCGAAACTAATCCTATCGACCCTGATTAGAGGAAAAGCTCTAAAACCTCCCGGTTCACAATATGCTCCATGAACCTCACCTCAGTCTAATCGGGGTTATATTTATTATAATAAGGGGATTGTATACAATAAGACCATTTATATTTATTATAATGAGGCCACAATCACTCTTATTCATTAGATATCAAATTGGATGGCTAGGACAAGTCATGAATTTCGAGATTTTTGACTTTATTTTTTTTTGAATTTTGCATATTTTCAATGACACTTCTACAACCTCGCAATTAAAATCCAAGGGACTAGAGTAATTGTGAACTCTTTGTACAAAAATTAAATGATCTCTTTATCTACTTTTCTATTTGAAAATTAAAAAAATGGAAAAAAGTTTATATAACGTTGAGGCCCTAAACAATCAAATTAAGACACACCTCAAAAATTCACTATAAAAAGATTTTTTGTTGCTGAAAATCCATCAAATCCCATCATCTCGACCTTGAGATACATGAACATAAAAAACAAAAGGACTTATACGTCTTGGAACAATGCATCTTGTAATGCATTATCTAGACCGTCAATTTTCAAGATTTTCAAGTGTTCATAGATATGCTTGATCTACACTATTTTTGAAGCTTTAATTCTTATAATTAGATTTAAAAATAAATTTTCAGTCCATTAAAAATATTTTTGGTACTAAAACGACATCTTTCGACATTATTTGAACATGCGCCTTACTTTAATTGTTTAGAGTGTCTGCCTTATACAAACCATACCCATTTTTAAGTCTTTAAAATAAGGAAAAACATTTATATAAGGGTGAGGTCCTAAATAATCAAATTAAGGCATACATCAAAAATTTCACTAGAAGATATGGTTTCGATGTTAAAAAATCTTCAAATTGATTATCTCGACGTCAAGATGTATGGATATTGAGAAAAAATAGAATTCAAGTCTTAGAAATAGGGCATCTTGTAATGCATTTTCAGACCGTCTATTTTCAAGATTTTTAAGTGCGATCTACACTATTTGAGAAGCTTTAAATTTTATAATTCAAGATGAAAATAAAATTTTAGGCCATCACAAAAATTTTCAGTATTGCAACATTTTTCGACACTATTTGAAGGTTCGCCTTTCTTTGATTGTTTAGAACCTCATACAAACCACACCCAAAAAAGTAATATATTTTGTGATTTGGATTTGTATAAGGTTGATGCCCTAAACAATCAAAGTAAGTTGCACCTTCAAGATATATTGTTTCAGTAATACCACAAATCTTTACGATGGCCTTAAAATTTAGGGTGCGGTTTGTATGGAGCCTAGGCTCTAAACAATCAAATTAGAGCCTACATTCAAATAGTGTCCAGAAATATAGTTTCACAATTGGAAATTTTTTTGATAGCCTTAAAATATATTTTCATCTTTATTTATAAAGTTTAAAGATTAAAAAATAGCGTAGATAAAGAGATCTATGAAAACTTGAAAATCTTGAAAATTGACGGTCCAAAAATGCATCACAAAATACACTATTTCCAAAACTTGAAATCCATTTTTTTCTCATGTCCATGCATTTTGATGTTGAGATGATGAATTTGAGGATATTTGCGTATCAAAACAATCTCTCCTAGTGAAAATTTTGAGGCAGGCTCGAATTTGATTGTTTAGGGCCTCGGCTCTACATAAACTTTTTCGTAAAATTTATTATATTGAATTATAAAATTTAAAAATTTAAAAATAGTTTAGATTCAACACATTTATGAACATTTTTATGTAAACATTTTCTTTTAAAAATTCATCTTATCCATAAATATTGTAAAAATAGTGTAGATCTAACACATTCATGAACATTTTTATATAAACATTTTCTTTTAAAAATTCATCATATCCATAAATATTGATATTGAGAAAATCACATTAAAGGATCACTTTTCTCCTATAAGATTTATGAGGTGGCCCTTACTTTCCGAGTAGAAGGTTGACACTTGACACGCTGTATAAACTTTTTCAATCGTAAAAAAAGGTATATTTTGATGATACCCAGCGCCAAGAGCGCAAATCACGAGGGAATTACCTCAAACTGAGGGTATCTCTCCGTCCACTGAACCCACTTGACCATTCTTTCCCACTTCTCTCTCTCTACTTTCTCTCTCTACTGTGCGTCACTCTAGTTTTCATAACCCACCTACGGCCTCGCAGCCCTCCTCTTTTCCGCATGATCCTCAGAGAAAAGCTAATCAAAAGCAAGAGCGAGGGATGGGTGACTAAATAAATAAAGGTGGATCAGAGGAGGGAACCACCCTTCTCTCTCTTCAATGGATTCTAAGAATTTGGTTTTCCGAGTTCAGAATCTGCATTCTGCTGTAAGATCAGGTGATTTGGAGGCAGTGAAATCAATTGTGGAGTCAGAAACGGGAGATGGAGCCGCTGGTTTAATGGCGGCCAAGAACGATGCAGGGGAGACGGCTCTGTACATTGCGGTCCAAACCAATCGCTATGTAATGGTTAAGTATTTGGTGGGGTTTTGCAATCTCGAGATTGCTGAGCTCAAGTCTAGGGTAGGGATCAATGCTCTCCATGTTGCAGCAAAAGGGGGTTGTTTGGGTTAGTCCTCTCTCTCTCTCTCTCTCTCTCTCTCTCACACACACACACACACACACACACATATTGT